AATTGCTTCCTTTCTCCAGTTAAGTCAATGGGTCTTTCAATAAAATAGAGTGTTGGGGGGCAGAAGTTAGTGTGCATTTCCCTTGCAAATAAATTCTAATTCATGCCAGTTAAACACTAGAACTAAAAATGTACAAAGAAGCCTCGAAGGAGATGAAGTGTTATTAGAGTTACCTTTTCCTCCCTGAACAGTCCGGAAGAAAAAACAATGACTACAAATACAGCAGGCAAACTGACTGTTGGGCTGATTGGGGTGGGATATACATAGTGTTGTAAGGAATTCAGTCTCAAGTTGTGCTAAACTCTCTTCATCCTCTGTATGGCACATTTTGGTCCATGATAGGGATTTTAAGTTGAGACGAACCCTGATTTCTTACAGAAACGTGTAAATATTGTTGCTCTTTAAAATGCCAGGTGTACTTCCTTCTACAAAGGTTAGGAGAGATTTTTATAGGAAGTAGTCTGGGGTACGACGGGTCACATGAGGCTCTCCACGGCGAGGTGCTGGGTCAAACTGGAGGCTACAGAAAAGAAAAAGGGATCATTTTCCCCTCTGTCTCCACAGGGTATTTTCAAATGCCACAATAAACACTAGACTGGCTCATCCCAGCTGCTTCCACATAAGATGTCCCAGGTCCCCAGGCAAACATTTGTGGGAGTTAAAACTTAGCAGCCCAGCACTACTTACACATGAGCTCAGCTGAATGCAGAATTCAGACTGTCTCACCCACCTTTACAAAGCCTAGTGCTACTAAAAAGAAAAATAAATACATATATCAGTCTTTGCTCTCTCCATCAAGCTTGAGCAATGGAGGGATTAAGGAAATGCAGAAGCTCCAACTCTCCAGAGAGCAAGGAATGGGAGATAATGAAGCACCCAAACTTTTAAAAGCTTAACTCACTAAATTTTAGGTTTTCTTGCAGGTACAGCACACAATCCAGACTGATTTGAGGTGGCTTTTCACAAAAGAACCCCTTTGGAAAGGATCAGACATTCCTCACAACACAGAATGGTTAGGAAAAAAGGACAGCCCGAGCCAGGTTACTCACAAGGAATATTTTAAAGTGTCATCTAGTTCCATAATAGCAGCCTGGTTCCCACAACGATAACAGTAATTGGGTGCACTGAAAATGGTAACCACGTTTCGGTCATGGCACCAGTTATAACCCTGCCAGGAAAAGAGGAAAAACAAAAAAGCCTCTGTTAAACCTCAATCCATTTGAAGTTCCTCTTAAGGCCTGAAATGACCCAAGGCATTTGTGAAACTGTAGAGTTCTCGTATTTCCAACTGCCTTTGTTTCCTTCTAGTAGCATTCTTACCGCCAGAACAAGCGGTAGTTACCTAGAAGGAACAGCTTCAACCACTCTGCAGAGTGATCAGCCATTCATCACTGGTGTCTTTATCCATTCTGGACACAAATTACAGATTGTACCACAAATAAAACTCAAGATTTTTAGGTATGCCTTCAGCTTTCACCCAGCACAAAGGGGAACGTGCCTGCTGGATGTGAGTGACTGCTGACACGCAGTACTACTTAAGAGATCTACCTGGAGTAGGTTTTAAGAATACATCTGCTCCACTGATGCACCTGGCATTTTTACATCATGACAAACAAGAATAGCCTATCAACAGCCAAAATTATGGCTTAATCCCTGCCATATCTGACTGCCAAGTACTATAGCACAGCCTGTAAAGGAGCAGCAGTTTAAGTAGAGCAGTCAGCGTGTAAGGAGATTATTAATTCCACAAACAAGGGTCCTTCTGGCCATTTGCTTAGAGAAGGTGGGGGAGAGAGAAGGGCAGAACATTCCTTTATTTATATCACAAGTCAAAGGCCATCATTTTATGTTGCTTCTTGTTTTCACAGGATTCAAGTCACTCTTTCGTATTTGCCTGTGTAACACATTTAGGTGTTCACTTATGCCAACCCAGTGGAAGGTCTCACCGAGGAGACAAGAACTGGCGTCTCTGTTTCGTTAGCCCCACCTAGCAGAGTGCTTGCCCTACCTCCATGACGAGTTGGTGAGCACGGGAGACCAGTGTGAGACCATTAGCATGGTTAAATGTTTCGGAAATATCTTGCCCAAAGGTGTAGCCAGCACCTCGTGGAGAGATACCCCAGCCGCCACGATCATCCGGATCCGACCATAACAGATCACACATCGGGCCCTTGAAAGAGAGGAAGTGTTCTTCATTAGATCACTAACAAGACTGTCATAAAAAAAAAAAAAAAACACCAACAAAAAAAACCCAAAAAACAAAACCTTCTAAAATATATTTTATTTACAGTAAGAAGATTGCTGCCAGGCCCTTGTCCACACTAGGTACTTGGGTTCATTTAACACGTTACTTACTCTTGTTACTCAGTGTCTCAGTCAGCATCCCTCCCACCCCAAGAAATTAATACTGACTGAGAAATGAATCCATGTAACTAGAAAACTGTTCCCACCTCCTCTTGCATGTGCTCCTTTTACCATTTCACTTTAGTCAGAGATAAAAAGACATGGAGAGCAGCTTCACACTCTAACTCCTGGCTTTCAGTGTGGTAAGAAAGGCAACATGGGAAGGTATGTACATCCAAGGACGCACAGTGGGTTTGCTGGTGCCAGCCACGTTGCAATAAATTAAAGAAAGGGAAATAATCCATAGGAGGTTGAACCAGCTATTCCAGAGACTGATGTTAACCCTTCAGCATCTCTTCTGGCAAGGTATTAATAATCTAATTTCCTCTCTAAACAGTCTATTGTTGGACTTGATATATTATATTACACACATCTAACAGTCACAGCGGCTTTCCTTGCTGAGCTACTAAGGGGCAGTAAAGACACTCTTGTATTAATCCAACCTGCTGCTGCTTCCTACTCACAACTCTTGAGTTCTGTGGCAGGGATCACACCAACTCCACGTGGAGATCCTCAGCAAATCCAGATTTCAGCACACAGATATGCAGCACAAGACTGGGAAAACCCCAGAGCAACAATATCATCATTACACCGAACTATAAGTAGATGTCGCACCAGGTGATTCCAGGAGTAATTCACACGGCTTATTAGTTTTTGGAAGACTTCGGAAGAATTGGGCAGACTTTGCTGAATTGTTCTTGCTGTTATACCACAGACATTGCTGGACAAGCAGCTTATTCTAATCAGGGAACATTCAACTCCATTTGTAAGCCCCAACCACTCCAACACAGAAGAGCAATTTGCTACCCCTGGAGCTTAGAAGATGGCTTCTTCAGTCGTGATCTCAGGCCCCCAGAACTCAATGAACAAGGTGAAAAGCCACAGAGGAAAGGACTGGCTGGGGAGAAAGGATGGTGACAGAACATGGCTTCACGTGGTAATTGTTCACAAGCAAGTCTGTGACAAGGCTGAAAGTAGTAAACATCTTCCGCTGCCAAATACTACTCTTCGAGTCAGCGTGACAGTGAAAAAAATCCCATGATTCTGTGACAAACAGCTGTGAAACCCCCATCTCTCTCCTTCTGTACACTGCTGTAATCAAAGCATACTGACTTGTGTGTGTCCTGCCCAAATATATGTTCATCTGCTCCTAGCTCTTAGAACAGCAATAACCCGCTTTCTAACCCTCTGTGTGTGTCTCTCTCTTGTGGTTTAAATGGATCTCAATGTGAGGCTACATTTGCATTTTCCACCAACAGATATCTAATTTTATGATCCATTTCCTTTCCTGTTACCTCATGTGGAACTTCCTGCAGGCGGTCCAGAGCCCTGATATGATCCAGTGTATCTATGGATGGAGAGAGGCCACCGTGGAGACAGAAAATCTGTTCCAGAAAAACAGAGCAATCCGTTCAGTGCATAAATTTATGGGAAGACTCAGAAATAGCTGGGTTTAATTGTTATCATTCTTGTACAATTGCAGCCGTCTCACCCTCACAGCAGAGAAACCAAATTTAATTCCTGCAGAAGGAAACAAAACTAAAAGGGTGCACCTTGCATACAGAAATCAGAAGAAAAGCGGTTATCAAAACTTCCAGTTTAAGAATATCTTGCCTCATGACCACTACTCGGCTCACATCTGATGTATCATTAGGGGACATATCAGATGTGATGTATCCCCTAATGTGATGTATTAGGGATCTTGAGCAGTCAATTAAAATGATCCATACTTGTAATACCCTATCATTCCTTCAGCAGCAGAATCAAAAGCCATCAACTTGTATTAAAACCTTGCTAAATTCTTCCCCAAACCCACAATAAGTACATGGGCTTTGAAAAAATTCAGAACACAAGTTAAAGGAGCTTGTCTGAGGTTGTCCATGCAGAGGTCAGACAATACAGTCTGTGCGACTTCCCAAAACAGAGCATTTTCCTTACTCAAGGCTTACTCACCTGGCCATCTACTAGAGCTGTAAGTGGAAGATAATCAAACAGATCTGTGAAGTACTTCCAGACATTGGCATTGCCATACTTTCGCAGACATTCATCATAAAAGCCATACACTTGTGTGATTTGCCTGCTCTCATGGTTGCCCCTCAGTATTGTAATGCGTTCTGGGTAGCGCACCTATTGACAAAGAAAACACTTCTTTAACACAAGAATTGTACAATCAATATGGAAACAAAGAGTAATGGAATATTTTGAACAGCAGCCAAGCATTCAGCTCTGCTACAGAATAGCATGTAGCCATTAATGCTTTTCAGTTTACATCGGTCTAGCTCAAGCCAATGGCAGCATCAAGGGGAGGAGTGATTCTTTCCAAACTCCTCCAAAGTATGGTGTTTTGCCCAAGGCTGCTGTACAAAAGCTGTCAAACCTTACCTTCAATGCTACTAGAAGAGTCACTGTTTCCACTGAGTAGTAGCCTCTGTCCACATAGTCTCCCATGAACAGGTAATTTGTGTCTGGCGATTTCCCACCAATTCTGAAGAGTTCCATGAGGTCGTGGAATTGACCATGGACATCCCCACAGACGGTGACGGGGCAACGTACCTCTTGTACGTTTGATTCCTTCGTAAGAATTTCTTTAGCCTAGCAAGAAAACACGTATTTAGGACAAAAAGGTAGGAAGCTCCTCCCTAATTAGGTGCAGATGTTATTCCACTGCATGGCATTCAGACTGGAAACACGATTTCAGTCCAGTAGCTCAAGCTGACCACTGGAAAAATAGTGGTTTGTTGGGGAAGCAAATACAAAATGCATTTTACAAATCCCTGTGCAGGAAGACAAGCAGGTTTGCTAGCGTGAGACCAGGTTATTAAGATCTTATTGGACCACAAGCACTGACAGACAAATCCAAAGAAGTAATTAACAACTTAATCCCCAGCCTCCCCCCGAAACAAAGAGGTGTGAACTTCCAAGACTTGCATTAGATATACCACTGGTATATCTAATAATCTAATAATCTATCACCACTGGGGTTCACCCATGAATTCTGTGCTTCTTCCAAACATTTCTCCAGTGCAGACAAGACAAAGCACTATTCTAGACAGCTTCATCAGCTTCACAGGCTGACATTATCTTCTTAAGCACAACTGGTTTATTTTTTAACCTAAAGATTATGACAGATTTCTCTGTGTGTGCAACACAGCTCAGGTCTGTTCATCTCAGCCGTGTGATCTGAGATCTATCAGCCTAATCTGACTGCCAAAGTCAAGCGCTACCCAGTTTCATGATACCTAGAAGCTTTCACCTCAAGAACCATAGCTTTCCTCTCAGTGTTGTGGGCCATCACATGTCCTGTCAGCAAGTGTTCAGTGTATTAAAACAGAGATGAGGCTATATTTTTTCTGTCTGCTGTAAGGGTAGAAATATCAAAAGAGCGAGTGCATGCCACTTGGGTGACTACCATGGTTTTTTGAATAATCTGATTTGCGAAAAGCATGTATAAAGCTAGATATTATTTGATATACCAGTGGGAGAACTATGGCCTCCTAGACTTCAGATAGAAGGCATACGAAATGTAAAGACACAACTTAGACACAGACTCCCTCCTGCCACGTTTCAGTCTGCCTACCATTCAAGGGACGTCTCTCAACCCCACGCTGCCATGTAGAACCATTCATGTTATCACCTTCACCAGCACTGACAGCTCCTCCTCACTGCCTCTGGGATCCCTCAGGCTTCTCTCCCTTGCTGCACACCCATATACCTCAAGTGCTTTCCCAAGACCAGGATTTCACAGCAGTGGGTCCATGCCATGGAAACAGCTCTGCAGACAGCCTGTTTGTTCCGTATTGATAGAGCCAGCTCATCGTGTGACTGGAAAGGCTGCATATGACAAAGGGGCTCATCTGGCAGAAATGCTGGGCAACCACTGTGGCATCAGGTGAGCAGAGCTGTGTCGGTCTGGCAAATAATAACCAACACAAGCGCCAGTGCCAGGGCTGCCCCAGCTCTTTCAGACTGCATTGCAGCGAGACTGAAGCTGCAAGTCAGGAAAATGGAACCTTCTCTGAACATTCCCAGAACACATGGGAACTAACAAATCCATTTCCCTTGAAGAGGGACAGATTTCTTCTTCGGCTTGCTTAAGCTACCAAGGAAAACAAGTATTCCAATGCCTCCCTTCACTAACCCGGCACAGAACATCACTGTATATGCAAAAGGCGCTTCTCTCTCACCCAGGCATTTTTGCCTGCCAAATTTCTAATCCTTTTCTGAGAGCAACAGTTTAACAGTTCTAAAGGCAGGTCACATACAACTGGAAAAGCAAAGTCAGAGGCAATTTGAACATACGGAGCCACAACCAGCTTCCCCTGCCGTACCCAGCTGGCAACAAAATGACCACAGATGGAGGGATGGCATCCCTGGATTTAGTCATCTCTTCCTCTACACCCAACAGTTCCTCTGCTAATTACAGCCACATAATGCAGCCTATCTGCATTACCTTGTTATCATCAAATATCGTGTTTGTTTTCCTGCCTCCAGCTCATCAACTGATGCAGATCAGTGCTCCAGGCACATCTGAAGCACAGGGGACACCCACAGACAGGCTCAGTCCGATCTGAATAGAAAGGATGAAAGATCACTAGCACTGAACAGCCCCCAGAAGGCAGTAATCCAGCTACTCATGGCCAAGTCCCTTAGCTCAAGACAGTGCAGCTACCACCTGCTGCTACCAGGAAGAAGCTGCTTACAGAGCACACCGCCAGTGGGCTCCCTGAGGATGCCTACGTTCACATTCAAATGTTAGCTGCCTTGCCTCTTTTAGACAGAAAGAATAACTAAAACCCAAGCAGTCTAGGGCTTAGACAGCATCCAGCGTGCCCCTTGCGTGGTATTTAAACTGAGGGATGTGATTCTGATCCTCAAAGACACATCCTGCACATGGACTTGATGACATGAGGTCTAGCTCGCAGTTGTGACTGGAACTGCTGAACATGTGTTTTTGAGTGCAACAGTCGTACTTCACTTCTTTTCGCTTATCTTTAAAAGCATCTATAGCACCGTTTGAGAGAATCTATCCTGTGTGAGACAAATATTAAAACACAGCTGCTCAATGTGTTCTGACTGTTACACAAAGCAACAGATGGGGTTTTGTTGTAACCTAGAGCTAACTTAACCACAGAAGGTGTGAGGTATTTTCTGCCTCTTCTTATCATGCATCTTCCCAGATGCGTAAAAAGAAGGACACTGTATGCATGCCATACGTACTTATCAGTGTCTCAACCACATCATCACTCTTCACCTCTCTGATCTGCCCAGAAAACCCACGCACCCATCCTAAGAACCACACACATGTAGAGCAGCACAGGCAACAGAGAAGAGCTCCTTCTGCACAGTAATTGGGCAAACAAACTGGCATTAAATGCATTCTTTGAAGGTGGACCAGCCCAAGTCCTGAAATCTTGGTACTAGGAGAACCTAGAAGTTTCCCCTCATGAGAAAGGAGGAGCTAACTGCTGAAGAGCAGCAGCTTCTTTAGCTGCCTACCATGAAGCCTAGTTTAGCTTATTATGTAGACAAACATACATGCAAACGAATAGATTAAGCCTGTCATTCCAACGCTGCAGAGCTGGCTCCAATCAGGCTCAGGAGGTGGCCACAGAAGTTTGCCCTCATGTGGCTTTCTAATGCTGAACAATACCTGTAAAATCTTAAGCATCATTAAAAACATCCCAGAAAAGTGGCAATTAGCCAGTGTACTCTGCTTGCATGTTTCAATGGGCAGTGCTAATGGTGAAGCCAAATGTTTTAAAATAACAAAAAAACCAGTACAAAACAAGGATAAAAAACTCTGATGCAAGTAAACTGCCCTGAATTATCTTAATTTATTTAAGAAGGCTGTTAAATGACTATGACTTAAAGTCATATTTTAGCTACCTTTGCTTTAGAAAGCCGTGACTAATATTATTGGCTTCTTAAGCATGTGTCCCAATTGTTCTGGATGAAAACCATATCCAGGTCAGAGTAAAAAGCAGCAGCTTTTAGGTATTTTTATTTAACAAACCTCAATTAAGCACAACAGTTACCACGTCTGTGCTCAAATTACTTTGAGGAGCAGACTAATTGTTAGCTATGAGCTTGCCCATTGTCTCAACTCCCCTCTCCCAGTTTTAGATCCTGTAGATCACGTTTGCAGACTGGAACACCAGCCTGGCTGCTGTCCGCTCCTCGGTCCACGTGGAAGGAGGCTGGAGAATGCATGTCCCAATAATATACTGTGTTGGCCTTGAAGAAGAAATGCAGTGGTCTCAGGGCTTGAACACAACCCACTGATGTGCTGTTCTGAAGCCCAAGATGCTTCACCAGCACTGAGACTACCGTCGGGATCACCAGGAGACTAATCCCTCTGTGAGAGACTTAATCAAATCCACATCCACTATCACACTGTTCAGATTCATCTACGATAGCTGTGTAGGCCAATTCCACATATGAGGAGATTATGATCCATCTAGGAGGCGGATTTTCAGCACTGTGCTTCCCCTAGAGAAAACCAAAGACCCCAAGCACCTGCTTTGTATGCAAGATCCTTTGAGAGCACAGAAATTCAGGTCCTTCTAGGAGATTCATTTATTGCACTATGAGCTTGGTTTGATCCATAGAGGCTCTTACACAGTGTTTCCGATCCAAATTCAACTCAATTGTCATTCCATCAGCTGTGACAGACCAAACTATTATGTCAGCAAATGTGCTAAAGATACTAAAATCTCAAAGAGCTTGGTGTGAACAAGAACCAGCTAGATTCTCCTCAAATGAGAAGGAATCCAGAGGGACGGAGCTGTCCTGCCCTTCAGCAACGAGGCAGCAGAGGACATCCTGAAGCCTCAAGAGTGACAGGCACTATCACACATGCTCCTAGAGGTACCTGGGCCAGCATATCCCAGGATGAGTGTCCGTGCTGGGGAGATGAAATATTCCTGGCCATGACTCAACACAACACTTAGAATCTCATGGTCTGAACAACATTCAGGATGCTACTTGGCTTCTTCGTTCATGCTAATTTCACCAATTAGTGCCCAAGAGCTTGCTAACTCATACTCCCAAAATCATTCTTAGGTGAAACAATCTCAGAGGGCAGAAGCACCATAGGTTTATGCCAGTAACAGCAAAACTCCCTACAGCCTCAACTGGCTCCTGCTGCTTGGTTTGAAGAATCAGTTTACAGTTACCACTCAATAACAGTACAGGAAATGCATGTCTTCATTAGCAATTAGAATCCTTTTCCTCCCACCACTTCACAACACAAAGCTCTCAAGCTGCTCACAGCAACAAGACTGTAACCCTTCTTACACATCCAAAGAAAGAGGATAGAAAAAAGGAGCTACCAAGAGAGATGGTTACGGATGGCTGCTTGCCTGTGTTTAATTTAAGAGACAGCCTTTTACTCACCTGCTTTCATATCCTATTTTATTACCTCGGTGAAAACCCCTTTTCCCTAGGATAAGTACTAACTCCCTCACCTGCAGCAGAGTTCATTAGCTGACCTGACTTGAACTTTAAAACCCAAGTATTCAGAGAATTCCTCTCCAAACTTGGGAGTGCTTCCTATGAAATCAAACTAACTTCTTGGCCTTTTAACCTGACTT